GATGAGCGCCTCTTAAAGCGCAAGATTGACTGGCGAATCGTTCCCCTCATGTTTGCGTGTTACATTCTCCAGTATCTTGACAAAACCTTGATCAACTACGCGAACGTCATGGGGCTGCAGAGCGACACGAATATCACTGGCGATCAATACTCCCAACTGGCCATGATATTCTACGTCAGCTATCTAGCATTCGAGTTCCCTCACGCTTGGGGCATGCAGAGATTCCCAACGGCAAAATACATTGGGATTATGGTCTGCATGTGGGGTACGGTGTTGGCAACTACATCAGCCTGCCACAACTGGGCCGGGCTAGTTGTGACGAGAGTCCTTCTAGGCGTTTTTGAGAGTGCTGTTGCCCCTTCACTCATCGTCATTACGACCATGGTCAGTTTTCGTCGTATGTTCACGTCCTTGAATGCTCCTAATGCTTCGTCTACAGTGGTACAAACGTCAAGAACAGCCTCCTAGGATGGGCATCTGGTATCTCGGCACTGGTGGCGGCACCATCGTCGGCTCCCTCATTTCTTTCGGTTTTCAGCACTACCACAGCTCCGGCTTTACCTCATGGCAGATCATGTTTCTCATCTGCGGCTTGATCACCATTGCTATCGGTATCACGGTAATTCTGATTCTTCCGGATAATCCGATGAGCGCACGCTTCCTCTCCCGCGAGGAGAAAATTTGGTCTATCGAGCGATTAAGAAGCAACCAGACTGGCATCGAAAACAAGCGATTCAAGCGCGAGCAGGCGATCGAGTGTTTCACAGACCCACAAACCTATCTTTTGGCGCTCATCACCATTGCTTCAAATGTGCCCAATGGAGCCGTCTCCTCGTTTCAGGCCACCATTATCAAGGGGTTTGGGTACACATCTAAGGAGACTGCACTTCTATCTATCCCTTCAGGTGCAGTCAGTATCGTCTCGATTCTAGCGGCTACCAACGTGGCAGGGAGATTCAATCAAAGAGCTATCAACATTATTTGCCTTCTGATACCCGGTGTCATCGGAGCTGCGCTGATGGCTTTCCTACCAGAGGACAGTAAAGCTGGTAAACTGATTGGAAACTATATGACGAATTGTATTGGGGCAACTTTGCCTTTGTTATATTCTCTTGTTGGTGCCAACTACGCCGGTCACACCAAGAAGGTACGTGGGACTTTTTCTCGACAGTCTTTCTGTTAATCCAGAACTAATGCGGGAGAGCGTAGGTCACCATGAACGCCACTTTGCTCATCTGTTTCTGTGTTGGTAACATTATCGGACCCTTGACATTCACGGCTGAGTCTGCGCCCGGATACCTCCCAGCCAAAACAGCAATCATCGTAACCTGCGGGTTGGCGATGATGTTCACGTTGATGCTAAGGTACTATTACATATGGGAAAATAAGCGACGGGATAAATTTGTTCAAGCAGGAGAGCTTAGCCACTTGAAGGATGTCGAGTTCAGCGATATGACTGATTGTATGAACAAGGAGTTTAGATACACCCTTTGAGGTTATCTTTATCTTGACAATGACTGATGTAGTTAAGACGACGGCACGAGGCTCTGGAGGCATATCTGCGTTTGGAAATTTACATGCAGAGTTTGCAGAGAACCTTTGAATATCAAGCAGCCTTCTGCATGCGCATTTACTTTAAGCCAGAGCTTTCACAGGAGGAAGTTTGTGTCGTAATACGACGAGCTCTTACGTAACTTCCTAGCCTGCCCAACGTCTTCTGGAAAGGTCATTTGATCTATACTTTATATTGGCCTTTTGGTAGATGCCAAGACTCAAGAGAATCCGAGGCGATGAGGTGTCAATGATTCGCTCATGAGAAGCTGGGTGTGAGTACATAAGTTCGGCCTAACATCACGCAATTTAATCAATTACCAAAGCTAACCACGGAAATACGCGGGTTAAATCCTGTATACTTGGAATATGGATGGTTTGGACTTAGAGTTTGAATCCCCCGGTCCTGTTATGGAACAGGCCCTCTGGATCAACCGAAGCCCGCACTCTTTCCGCCAACTCTCTCTTCTCTGGCTTCAATCTTCCCCAGTAGTCTTGTCGAAAGTATCCATCGTTCATGAACAGGGGCCTGTAGGCGTCTGGAAGAGTGCCGTCTTGGACAAATCCATCAACACGAGACTTCATACCAGTATACAATTTGACCATGGTATCATCAACTGCAGCGTCATCCAGTTGAAACAAGTAGGAGTAATCAAACTCGAAGATGATTCTGTCGAACCCATCATCAAGATCCAGCAGATCGCCACCTCTCTCTCGGCTGACCCGGGCTAGTGACTTCGGTATGGGCTGAAAAGCCATCGAGGCAATGATCCCAGCTACTCCTGACTTTACAGCTGACGTGTTGTACCAATGGTCATAGTAAGATCGCATCACCTTTGCGCCTGCTGCAGCTGGCGGAAGAGGTGTCGTCTCCGTAGCGATAGTGTAAACACTACCTTTCAAGACGAAGACGTTGTTCGCTTTGAGCAAGTCGGTGTAGGACCTCGTCTTACAAGTGTTGAGCGACGATTGGATATCCAAGAATTCGTCAAATACTCCAGATGGAGGCTGTGGTCCGTCGTAGAACAGAAAGAAGATCCAGATGTTGACGCTGTTCAATACAGTCAACTCTGAAGTTGCGATGATGGCTGCCTTTGGATCATGATAATTCTCAGTAAAGTTTCGAATCGCCGCGAGTATCTCATCTGTTTTGTCGCCGCCAAATACCAAGTTTCCGCCCCATATCTGCCCCTTGTATTAGCAGATTCTGTCGCCAATGGGAAGTCGCTGGTTGAGGGACCACAGCACTTACCTGTCCTATTGCATGCGCTTGCAAGTTATACCTTGTTACGATTCCGTACGCATTGCCACCTCCTTTTATGGCAGCAAGAAGGTCCGGATTGGAAGTATTGGAAGCGGTCACTACCGATCCATTTGCAAGTACCATCTCCGCTGACACTATGTTGTTCGATGCCCAGCCGTATTGGGTGCTGAGAAAACTGAGCCCCCCTTTGAAGAACGTTAGATACCTCATTCCATGCAGGCGCCGAAGTTGAACATCAAGATACCTCCTAGAAGATAGCCACCCACGCCGACATTCCCGATGCGGCCCCCAACGACAGTCACTCCAGTTCCCTCGAGAGCTTCGTGAACCTCTTCCCATTTGTTTCCGGGACCGACGCTGACCGTATTATTCTCCTTGTGGTACACGACTTCCTTTAGCCCTTTTGTAGAGATCAAAGGGCCACCTTGCACGCTTGCAAAGTAATTGTTCGGGTTGTGTCCTCCCGACTTAACAGCAAACTGCTCTTTGTTATTAAGCAGGGCAGTGACAATAGCTGAAACTTCTGTAGCACTCGTTGGAACCAGGATACAGTCTGGCTTCAGGTTGCTGCAAGCAGTCGACCTACTGGCGGTTAAAATAATTCAGCGCTGGATCAATGAGCCTACCAATAGTTTTGTTGTTCCTGGGTGTACTCTATCTCAATCCCCTGGTATTGTTGGATCTTCGTCGATGCGGATAGCTGTTGACACGTCGCAGATAGAGACTCAACGCATATTGCCAACCCTAAACACACGAAGAGCGTCAATAGCCTTGATGAATCAATGTTCATGACGGGCAGGATGACAAGAGTTCAAAGTCAGTGATGCAAAAGTCTTGCGAGCGTAGTCTGGAGGAGGGGCACGAGAGGCCTATTTAATGTAAATACTCTAGACACATCATGTAACAAGCACAGCTGAGGTCAGATGGGTCTTCCCTCTGCATGTACCAATCAAAATTTCTGAGATGCGATTGCTGTCAAGTTGGACACCTTCCGTAAATGTAGAAATTGGGCGCCACGATGCTGCTTTAGATGGCATCGCTTGTCAAGTGGATCAGACGATACGGTCGCATAAGTGCTGACAATCACACACCTTCTTATCCAGCCACATCGACTACAATAGGAAATCACATCGGCAGGCTGCTAGGTACAACGATGCTGGTGATTGTTCAAAGGCTCAGAGTTTCGTATTTTCGGCTGTGACTTTTCGCGTACTCGTGCTTTTCGGAAGTCCACACAACCTCGCGATGAAAAGCCAAATGTTGAGGGAACATCGCTGTACTCAAGTTTCAGCTCCACATGAAAGCTGACCCTAAGCGAGTGGCATTCTACTCAGACTATTGAAAGGTGTGGGTAGCTGATAGGAGCAGTCGTTATTTATTCCTTCGCTGGCAACATCGATCATTCGTCAATGCCTGGTGTAATGGATTTTGTCTCCATCCACTGCAAAGTACAAAACCTTCCTCTGCCCTCCTGCAGGTGAACCTGTGATCTTCTAGAAGGTGATAGGACGCTGATACATTGGTGGCCACCTTGGGCATCAAGAATCAATAGACATCAATAGGCGTGGGGGAGTGTTGCAACGCAGGTGGTCTGAAGCCACCTACCTACCCTGTGTGTGGATCCGCTGGTGGTGTGCTGCGTGACTGTGTGACATGGCCCAATGAATGCTTCGATTGTTGAGCTATTCACCGCAGTGCATGCGGAAGTCGGAGTCGCGGCCTAGCGAAAATCACAAAGGATGCTGCAGGCTTATTCATGTAGGATACCTAGATGAGAGGCCATGTTTCTTGAGAATTAGCGAGCTGACCATACGTAATGATAGCGATGGCCCCTCGGTGTAGTCGCCTGGGGGAATCTTTGGCTATATTGATTCAATAACGTGCTTCTCCGCTTACTGCTGCAGGTGTACCAGACAAAGATATGTCCATTATTGGCGTCCACTCACGATAACCAATTCGAAGGTAGCAGCACTAATAAACAGTGACCTCGCCTCTAATTTACGTCCAATTACCTTTAGTCCAATACAGAAGTGGTGTCCAAATTCCGGATCCGCCAAAATACCACGAATATTTTCGGACTGTACATGATTAGGTCCCATGCGATACCATCCAAAAAAAAAAAAAGAGAAAGAAAACGCATCTCCGTGTTGTTGATATCGCCGTCTGTGGAATCCAACGATCCTTTCTAGGCGCACTCCCAGCTGTCTGCCAAATCAATTTCGCCGGTAACGTAACGAGCCTTGAGAGGGTAAGGACAAATAGGTCTCTGTCTGGCTATTCCTCGAAGGACATTGTCTTCATGGTATTTTGTAGCCACCAACTTCTGAGGTGCAATACCCTCTTCAACCCATCGCATGATGGCATAAATTCCGTTATGGTCGGCATCGTCGCTGCCCGGCACGCCATGGGTAGCTCCGCCAATCGTCGAAATACCGGTGTACCAGGGCGCGGCGGTGCTACCAGTACAATGAAAAAGACCCGGAACCAGAAACATACGGTAAAATTCGTCAAGACTGATCTGCATAGCTTTGTAAACTTCCTCGTAAAAGTATATGCTTGCCCCGCTGCTGATTGTGTCATCTGCAAGGCCATGAAGATGGATCAGCTTGCCACCGCGGTTCTTGAAAGCAGATAGATCGTATTTATCGGCAGTCGAGTTGCCGGGGTCAATGGTATCAATCAGCTTCACGGTGTTGAAGTCGAAACTTCGCCAGTCCCAGTCTGTGTCGTTCACCACCATGTTGATGACGTATTGTAAGCCGATCGCAGATGGCTCCTCCGTGCCGCTCGCTACAAACGCAAGACTTGACCCCAGTGATGGCTTGGGAAATACAAAAGTTTGATCAACGTCGACATAATCGCTTGTCAACTGGCGGAGAGTATTGATCTGCTGCGGCGTCAAGCAGCTTGAGGCGTTGTTGTTTGTTGAGGTGCAGAGCATGGCTTCAGGGCGGAAGTCGCAGGCGTAAGGATCCATAACGATGGAGTCCGTGATCCCGTCCTGTGGATCACATTGCTTGATCATCTCAGTCAAGATGAGCTGCAGCAGAGAGACTGGAATGTGCTTCGGATCATCAGATGGCAAGTTGAGAATGCCTCTCTGCACGCCTGCTGCACCAAGGCGGGTTGTCCACCAAGCTGGCGCGTTCACAAGAACGCCGTCAAAGTCCTCGGGAAATTCCTGCACCTCCTTAAGACCTTGGCGGCCTCCAGTTGAGCAGGCAACGTAATAGGAATAATCCGGTACAGATCCATAGTACGCAGTTAGGACCGCCTTGGCCACAACAACTGAGCCGTGCATTGCACGATATCCCCAGTCGATCATGGCCTCTGGATTGTTCAGGGCCCAAGAGGTGTCACCGAACCCAGAGATGTGTCCTGTATCGGTTGACATGGATGCAAACCCGTACTGAGAGAACATTCCCATGTATGCCCAGTTGGTAAACCCGCCAAAGCCGCCGTTACCAGTGGCCATGAATCGTGAGTTCCAATTGGTGGGCATGTAAAGGGCGAAGTTGTAGGAGGAAGTAGCAGATGAGATGAGATTGACACCGACTGCGCATCCTTGTGGCAACGCAGTAGCATTTCCAACGGCTGCTTTGTCGCCAAAAGTACCATTCTCGGCGACAAAGTTGACATAGTTGATGGATACACCAGGAGGTAAAACCTCTGTGATCGATTCGAGGGAGCAACGGGAAATGTCAAGATTTCGAGCCTGACAATGGGCAAATGAGAATCCAGTAAGGAGTAGGAAATAGAGGTTGATCATGTTGTAACCGGAGAAGAAGAAGAGGTTTGCTGTGAAGGAGTGATATGTCTTCATTACAAACCTTTGATTAGAGTCGTATATATATACTTATGCTCTCAGAGCCAAGTAACTTGACTTGATGCCCGTGAGGCTGTGATTTGCAAATCGGAGCTCGCCGTTGCGGTGGTCAAAACACCCGATCGGTACCATCCTGGCACCGATGCCGACTTTAAGGAGTCTGGTTAATTTGACGTCGTTCTTGGCAGCTGCGTGGCTTCCCTCATTTCTCCCCTCTTCCTTGAGCACCTCAGAACTCATTCTCTCACGTGGTCCCTGTCTTGAGCCCTGGCTTTGGTCTCTACTTTTCCCCTCATTCTTATTATTCTTCATTGGCTCATTACTGATCCACTGTAAGTACTGAATTTGATCTTGCTTTACCTCAAGGTATATATAGTTACGTTGCAGTATCAAGTTTTTTTTGAGTTTCTTTTTAAAAAGATAAAAGGAAGGAAGAAAGAAAGGATAGAAAGCCTTAGATTGAGTTTCAGCTCAGAATTATGTGCAGTCAACGCACACGCCGATGTGCTTTTCCAGCAAAGCTACAACGCTGCAATCTTAAGCATGGTTATAAGCCTTGGTGGCCTCAGAAAGGCGCCAGGTATCCGCAACGCTGCGGTTCGTCCTAGAGCAGTCTATGTGAGTAAAACAGAGCCTACATCACACCACGTCAATTTCCTCTCGTTTCCCCTCACTCATACCGATAACGAACTGGCTGTCCGCAGAGTCTCATCTTTCATCCCGAGTATTGCCGTGACGGAGTGCGTCCGGATGATCTGACTCCCACTCCACAGCAATGCGCTGCTGTCCTGATGCATGTACTTTGCGAGCCTGAATTCGGGGACGGAAGTATGGTGGAGAGGAAGTTGGTTGGAAGCAAGGATGATAACTCCGTTAGCGTCAGGGAGGTAATTACCACTGCATCTGAGCTATTCCACAGCCGGACCGGTGGGACAGAACAACCACCTGGTTGGAGAGGAGGTTAAGATAGCCAAGAAACCCAAAGAGATTGGCATGAGGGCCTGATATATCTGTGGTATGGGTAGAGAATGATCCTGACTGTACCGAGTGCAACCAGTGCACGGTTTCCCAGGTTTTACAACCGATTGCGCTGCGAGGTGATCTATTCGGAAAACACATACTAGAGTGCCTTGGACGTCAACATTTACATCGAGGATATGGGTTCAAGAGGACTAGGCGGCGTGCATGATATGGACCCAACCTAGAGCGATAAAGTTGCCGTCACGGGCTGTAACTTCTCTGCTGCTGTCAGACCAGAGCCAGAATTAGATCTTCGCATTTCAAGACTCCCGTTCGTGAGCACCATTCATGATGAATCCCTAATCATGATCTATAGTACTCCACGGGAACCTCTTGCCCAGTCCCGGTTTTTACTTGTGGGTCGTGATAGGCTTAGATCACTCGAAAGACCCACAACAAGCAGAAATATCCCATGCCTCGAGATTATAGATGCTTTCCCTGCCACTTATCCGCATCCACAACAGCTCCAGTGGAATCTGGGCTCCTGGAAGGGTGGCCGAGTTGGTTATGGCGCCAGGTTAAGGTCAGCTTAACATCTGTTTCCTGGTGGGGCAACCCGCGCGAGTTCGAGTCTCGTCCCTTTCAACATTGTCTTTTGCTTCGCCCATTGATTGTGCATTATCTTACGTTGGATAATTATCCTCCTTTTTGTCTGCAGGCTGCTGGCTGATGAGGATAGTACTTGCTACAATCTCTGTTAGTAGTTGGCTTTCAGTGTGTAGGGTAGCTCATACAAGTGTTTGATACATCATGTTGGTGTTTTTGGTCAAGCATGCGCGAGATGTATCAAATGAGTACCATGTAGCCGGAATCGTAATATTGCTTTAATATCTAGCATCAACTACTCAGAGACTCGGACTACGTAGCATGTTACTGGTAATCAGACATCTCTTTCGAGGCACACTTTCTGGCCTAGTCAGTATTCATTGTGAATCAGGAGTCCTTGTTCACTTCTCGGTATATCTCACCGTGAAGAGCTTCAGTCTCCAACGAACCCCTGGGTCTGTGGGTTCGTGCAGCTGATCCGATTTCATCCCCCGCTGCAGCTTAAAATAGAGTTCACAGCGTGTATCAGCACGGCCTCGCTGGATTCGAAAGGCCGAACCATGGCAAAGTCAAAATACTGTGACACCGAGTAATGTAGCATGCAATTCAGGATAAAGGACAGAAATCCCACTTCATCCCAAGGTCTGATATCTCCCCATCGTGTTCTTCATCCAGCGGCACGCAGGAAAAAAAAACGCTGCACACCCATCCATTTCTGACTTCAGACAACCAGTTACTTTGGGCAGAGAACTAAGAGCAACCTGAAGCCACAAGATCCTCATTGACATCGAGGCACAACTGCCGAGCTTCCCCGCGTTACCAGGCTACGCTAAGACGGTCAAGACTAGGATAACCATCGCAGGGCTTCCAAATCTCCGGAACAACATGGGCATCCTCCTACAACCTCTCGTTGACTACCATCCATGGAACCAGCTTGGAACCTTGACGACACTGTTACTCGCTTCTCTCGGTGCTGTAGGACTTTTGGCTTGGCATTTCCGCGAAGATAAGCCGTACGTGGGCTTCAAATTGATCGGCAAAGAACGAGGAGAATGGTCATATGAGAAGGCGAGAGAAAGATGGAACAACAACGCCTTCGAGCTCTTGCGGGCAGGATTCAAAGAAGTATACTGAAATTGACTTCAATCTTTGAGAATTCACGATATTGACCTGAATTCGTAGACACACGGCCGGCCATTTCAAGTGATATCCCCGTTTGGTCCCTTGGTGATGCTGCCTCCGAGTCTATGCGACGAAGTTCGGAATGACAAACGCTTAACATTCACCGGATTCATCGACCGAGTAAGTCTGTAGAATAGGGAACTTTGAAATGACCAAAGGTCAGGGCCTATGAGCAAGATTCTTCTAACCTCGGCGGTCATAGCAATGGCTCACGCGGTATCCCGGCTTGGATATCCTGCAAGATGGGCTTAGGGGAGAAATCATACAAGAAGCCATGCGGAAGAACCTCAACCAAGAACTGAGTAAGTGAGCTCCTCGAAACAGCGAGAGACAGGCAAAGACATCAAAAGCGCCAATGCTGATCGGTATCTCAGTGTACTTGACGGAGCGACTCCGCGAAGAGGCGTCTCTCATCCTCAGAGAACAACTCCCGTCAAGCAAAGAATGGCAAGAAGTCAAATTCTTTCCCGTGGCCACTCAACTTGCTGCACGCTTATCTGCAAAGATCCTCCTCGGGGACCGTCTCTGTCGCGACAAAGAGTGGATAGCAGTTTCCATCAACTTCACCGGTGTCATTCTCCGCGCAGGCCGAGCTCTGCGCGCCTGGCCTGTCCTTCTCCGCCCACTGGTGCATCGCTTCGTGCCGACGCTGAACTACCTGCGAAGTCAAATCACGCAGGCACGAAAGATTATGGAGCCGGAGCTTGCGGCGCGAAGGCTCGCGAGGGATAAGAAAGAAAGACCTATGGATTCATTGTCATGGATTGACGATGTTCGGCGCGGACGAGAGTTTGATGTCGTCGCTGGGCAGCTATTTCTCACATTTGCGGCGATTCACACGACGTCTTCTGTGGTGACTGCCATATTGCATGATTTACTGGCGTATCCAGAGTATTTCACTCTGCTGAGAGAAGAGATTGTCAAGGTTTTTACCGAGGATAGGGGTTGGAGCAAGAACAGTCTGTTCAAGTTGAAGTTGATGGACAGCTGTATGAAAGAGAGCCAGCGATTGCACATATTGGGTCCTCGTAAGCACATTCGGGTCCTACCGCGAGGATCTTGGACCGACGACCTGCTTACACGCCCTCTAGATATCATGAACCGCAGAGTCGAAGAGGCCATGACCCTCTCTGACGGAACCCACCTCCCAAAGGGCACCTTGATCACCGTAGCCACACACAACACCCGCGATACAGCACTCTGGGGACCCGAGCCCGAAAAGTTCGACGGCCACAGGTTCCTGCGTATGCGTGAAGAGCCGGGGCAGGAGAACCGGTGGCAGTTTGTCTCGACGAGTCCAGAGTTCCTCGCCTTTGGCCATGGAACGCACGCGTGCCCGGGACGATTCTTTGCCAGCAACGAGATGAAGATTGTGTTGGCGCATCTAATCATGAACTATGATTGGAGGATTGTGGAAGGAAAGCCCCCGGCAAGCATGTTCGTCAGTCGCTTTGTGCCGGATCCCAGGACGGTTATTGGGTGCAGGGCGAGGACCCCAGAGATTGAGCTGTGAGAGAGAGACAACACACGAGAAGCAAGACATGAATGAGCAGAAACGATTCAAAATTTACTCAACCACAAGGTGGACAAAGGTGTCGAGAAAAGCAAAAAGAGATTGCGTCAATCGCTGACGGGAATTGAGCCCGACGTGGCTAGGCAGAGTCAGTGATGATGTTCCATGATTATCATGTGGCATTGAGCTATAACTTACGGGTCGAACCCACAACCTTGAGATTAAGAGTCTCACGCTCTACCGATTGAGCTAGCCGGGCGGATAGAATCCAATGGCTTGGTGTGTTGTTGTGAGCAAGCCGGAATCAGTCCATGGAGCCTTTGGTGGATTGGACCGGACGGGGTGGTGTATATAATTTTCACGGCCCATCTCTAGACGTGTTGTGTCTTTTGACAGGGTTACCGCGTTTTCGGAGGGTAGGGCTTGTTTGCTATGGACTCCGGTGCGGGTCCTGGAGATTGTTTGAGAGGGGCCGGACGAAGTCCCGGGATCAAGAGATCTGCCATGACACCAGCTTTTTACCTTTGCGCGAGTCGAGTAGTCGGTTTCCAGGCCGATGTGCTCTCAATTAGGGTTGGTGGACGGTCCGGTATGCAAAACGTGCCAGCTTAGCCTTCTTTTCCGTTTCAGACTGACAGACTGACAGACTGTCTGACTATCTGACGGAACACATTACAAATCCTGAATACAAGGAAAATACGTCCGAGTAGGATACATTCGAGTAGCTCGTTGTGCCAGGGCTCTTTGAGTTGCCTCATGGGTAGAAGTAAGTTGCTTTTACCTGGTAGGTGAGGTAGGGATGATGGAGTATCTCAACTCATGGGCTCTGGAAATTTGATGAACCACGACAGATGCGATGGCTCATTGTATCCGATCGAATCGATGAGGCATATCGCCGTGTTGTTCAGATTTGGCCGTCCTTACGTGAGAATGAAAGAGGGTGAAACTGCAGCAGCACACAACTGGCAACAAAAACACATCTGCTCAACATAGGAAAATTCATTTTGTAGAGTATATGCTGGTTATACACACTCGCAGACCGTTGTGGCCTGCCCGTTTTCATCCATTCCTTGAACCATCTTGCACCCCTTTTGCATACCGATACAGATTGAAAGCTGGAAAGCAATAACCACCGCTATTACCACATCGCCCATGAGCTCGTGTCTCCAGTCGAGACTCAGTGTCCACCTCCTCTGGCTCGCTTCGCACCAGCATTTCCGCCGGCCTCGGAATCTCCTCTAGGCCGCTTGTTACCAGGCTGGAAATCGTTGGCACCAGGGTTCAACGAGCCGGCATTTTGTCCTCCTCGGCCACCACCACGTCCGCCACGTCCTGCTAGACCACCTCTCTCTGCACCTCCGCTTGACACCCTATTTCCGGCAGCGTAAGCGCCACCACGACCACGACCAGCTGCACCGCCTCGTCCTGGAAGAGGGATGCCACTCCTTTGGCCTGGAGCAGCCTGAGCCGGTGGTTGCGGTAGCCCATGACCTTGCGGTGCGGTCTGACCCGCCGGTGCCCCTTGTGTACTGGAAGCGAAGGGGTTCTGTTGCTGTTGTGGTGTTTGCTGCTGCTGCTGTCCTTGTGTACTCTGTGAGAACGGGTTGGCCTGGGCCGGAGTGCCATTAGCAGCACCGGCCGCGAACGGGTTCGCTGCAGCATTGTTGGCTGCCGGCTTGGTATCCCCAGGAGTAGGTATTTGTCTCTTCTGAGGGATGCTACTGCCCGGCGCAGGGATTCCGCTAGTAGCAGCCCCGGTTGATGGTTGTGCTTGGTTGGTTGAGGCTGGTGGGGCTTGAGGACGGTTAGAAAGAGTAGAGTTTGCACGTTCATTTGGAGTAACTCACCAGGTGTCGGGGCAGCAGCTTGGGCTGGTGTGGCAGCTGAGGGCGCCGAGATCGAAGGACGGGGTGCGGCGGGTTGTGCGTTGCCAGCGAGCTTCGCCGGGCTTTGCTGCGGCGCGGCGGGAGCTGGTTTGGCAACTTTAGCTTCCTCCCAAACTTCCCCAACGGGTCTTTGAGGTGTCTTTGTTGCGGCCGTGGACACGACTTCGATCTTGGCGTTGGCACCTCTGAGCTGATTGTCCTTCATGTTGATCTGCAGCGCAGACTTCTTCTGTGCCAGCAGCTGACCTTCCTCGCGAGCGTTTGCGATTCTCTGCTCGAACTCGGCCCTCATACTCGTCTCTGTCTCGTTCTTGACCTTGGCAGTCTGTTCCTCGAGTTTCTTTCTAAGATTTCCCGACATAATGTTCCGCACGGTAGCATTGGTAGAAAGGAACTTCCGAATCTCGGCATCGGGGAGTTGAGATAGATCCGCAGCACCAGCAGGTGTACCGGTCATTGGCGTTGCCGGAGCTGCGTCCGGGTCTTGCTGCTTGATGGGCGTCGCAGGCACAGCCGGTTGTTCTCCCGCAGGCTTAGCAGGTGCGGCGCCTTGCTGCTCAGCCTTCCAAATGACCTTTTCTTGCTCTACCCTCGTGGCGAACTCGGCTTCCATCTTCTCGCGAGACTGGCGTAGCTTCTCATTGAGTGTGTTGCGCATCTTATCAGACCGCTCCTTGATGGTCTGGGTGATGTTCTCTTCGAGCTCCTTCGCCTTGCGGTCAGCCTCTGTAGCCTTGGCTTCGGCGGTAGCAATCTTCTCCTCCAAAGCCTTCCGCTCAGTGTCGGATAAGCCACTCGCGCCGTTTGTGGCAACAGGCTCCGCCGTCGACTGGGCGGCGGGCTGAAGCTGCGCCTGGGCAGCCTGCTGTGCAGCCTCGACAGCCTGGTCTCTCTCGGAGACGGCTGTCTGCAGTTGCGATCGCAGGGCCTCAAGCTCCTGCTCGGCGGTCGTCTTTTGGGCTGAGATGGCTTCCAATTGGGTTCGCATCTCGGCGAGTTGCTGCTCCAACTGGGCGACTACTTCCGAAGATACTGGTGGAGACCCGTCTGTCGTGGGTTGAGCGGCAGGAGGTGGCGCGCTAGATTGGTTGGCTTGAGCATCCTGCTGTAGCCTTTGTACCTGTTGCTGGAAGTTCTTGACTTGCTGCTCAAACTCCGCACGCTGCTGTGTTGTCGTCTGCAAATTCTGTCTTGTTGTCTCGAGCTCGGTGTTCATAGAGTTGAGTTGCTGCTGCAGTTGTTCACGCTCAGCAATCGCGGCGTCCTTCTCCGTGACCGCCTCGTTCCGTGCACCAATTGCCTCATTCTTCTCGCCAGTGATCTTACGTGACCGCTCTTTGAACTGATCGGTCATGCGTTGGCGAGCGTTCGCCCAATTGGTCCTCTCCGTCTCCAATGTCTGCTTGATCTCCTCGAACTCTGCTCGCAGAGGGCCTTCAGACTCTTTGAGAGCGTCGCGCTCGGCCTGCAGATCATTGATGGTCTGCTTGAGTTGCTCCATCTCGGCGGGATCAACGCGGCCGTACTTTGTCAGGATGCCCTCGGTTCGCTTCTGCCACCTGTCGCGGTCCTCCTGAACTTGCTTGATTTCTTCCTCGAGGAAGCCCTTTTGAGTCTGGAGTTCCTCGATCCTAGCCTCCAGAGGCTGTACCTTGCCTTCCAATTCCTCGATCCTGGTGTTCTTCTCGGAGATTTGCGTCCGGGCGTGGGCGAGCTCGTTGCGGAGGGTGGCACTGCTCTCACGGTAAAGGTTGAGTTCGTTGAGTTTATCCATCAGATCCTTGTGGGCAATAGAGGCTTGGCCGCTCTCAGCTTGTGAGCGTCTCTCCTGGTCGAGCTTCAACCGAGCCTCATCGAGCTGGGATTGGGAGTATTCGAGCTGTTGCTGCAGGCGTTTGGATTCCTGCACCTTGAGGTCGTACTGCACCTCCAAGATCTCCTTCTCCCGTCTTAGATAATTGTTGAGTTCCCGAAGACCGTCGGCTGCACCGTCGCTGCTAGTTTCCGCGCTATCGTTGGCGTCCCCGGCCGCCGCATTGCGACCCTCCTTGAGCGCAGAGAATTGCTTCGTGATGCTCTCCAGCTGCTCGTGCAGAAGCTTGTTCTGTGCGTTGACATCATCGCGGCGAGCCTTGATTTCTGACATTTCCTGCTCGATTCGCTGTTTCCTCTCTTCCCAGGAACTTTCACTTTGAGACAGGGCAACTTTGGCCGACTCCGCCTCGGCTCTCAGAGTCGCCGTCTGGCTCTTGAGCTCGTTGTACTCGGTGCGCAACTGTTGGACGAGCTTCGCAGCCTCGGCGTGCTTGACAAGTTCGTGTTCGTAGTCCTGTTGAGCCTTGGCGGTGATCTCTGACTGAGCACGAAGGTCCTGTTGGTGGAACTTGGCGGCTTCTGAGTGGCGGTCCGCTTCTTCCTTCAAACGCTTCACTTCCTCGTCTAGAATCGTCTTCTCATCCTCGTACTTGCGGGCAACTTCGGCTTGGGAGTCGCGGAGGTGGGACAGTTCCTTGTTGGAGCTAGCGAGTTCCGATGACAGATCTTCAACACGCTGCTCCAACTCCTTAATCTTGGCGTCCTTGGCCGCGAACGCAGCATCCATCTCCTCCCTGAATTGCTCTGTGGTGGTTGTGAATTCGGTAAGAGCTTCTTCATTTTGTTCGCTGAGTTGCTTGTATTGCTCTGTCTGTTCCCTGGCATTCTCGAGCTGAGACTTGGCGATGTCAAGCTCCCTCTTGAGGTCGGAAACCTCATTGATTAACTCGCGAACCTCGGCCTCGCTGTCTTGGTCAGTCTGGGTAGGAGGTGCCATCGTGCCGGGCCTTGGCGTTGGCCGGGGCGCCAGGCGACCAGCTCTGTCTTCCGCATTGCGAAGTTCGATGGTGAGCTCATCAACGCGAGCTTGCAGGTGGTCGCGGCTGGTCTTAACAGCGACGTGCTCCTCGCGAATCTGGCTCAGACTGGTAGAGAGCTCATCGATGCGCTTCTGGGCTTCGCGAGCATCGAACTCCTTCCTGAGCTGAAGCTTCTTGCCTTCTTCCATTTCATCAGACAGCTTGCGCTTCGTGCTGTTCAGCTCTTGTTCAAGATTGTCGATCTTGGACTGAGCTTTCCGCCTGTACTCAGACTCAGAAATGTCACGCTCGTTCTGCATGGATTGCTGGCTTGCCAAAAGATTGTTGAGTCTCGTCTTCTCCTGCACAAGACTCTCGTTGTCTTGATTGAGACGATCCTGGATGTCCTTCCATAACTTCTTCTCTGCCTTGAGGTTAGCCGCCTCGTTTCGAACGCTCTCGAGCAAGCCCTTGGCATCGATGAGTTCTTCGGCAACTTGCTGGGTTCGGATTTCGTGCTTAATGGAGTCCTCTGAGAGCGTCTGGTTGCGCTTCTGAATCTCCTTGTTCTCGCTCTGCAGCGCAACAAAATTGGAGTGGAGCATCTCGTATCTCTCGGAGGCAAGGGTAATCTGGCTGGTAATCTTTGCAACCTCGCCCTGAAGGGAATTCTTCTCGCTTGAAAGCCTGTCAATCTGCTCCCGCAAGGAGCGACGGACGGATTCCTCGTCGTTTCGGTAAGTGTCGAATTCGACTTGCAGATTACGCAGCGCAGCTTGTGGGGACAGGCCGTCACCTTCCTCAGTCTCGATACTAGTGAGGGGGAGGCGCTGGCCGTCGTCGGAGCCAAGGATAGAAGCGAGCTCGCCGGCAGAGGCCTTTTGCTGAAGGAGACGTCTGAACATGTCGCGCTCGGACTTGAAGCTCTCCATTGTTGATCTCAGGGACTTGGTCTCTTCAATCATGTTGGCGAGCTCTTGTTGCAGTCGCTCAACCGATTGGTGATCTTCCACAGCCTGGCTCTTGGCGGCAACAGCCTCTTCGCTCTCCATCTGCTCTGCCAGCTCGCGGGTTACCCTCAGAAGCTCTTGATTCTTGGCTTGCAGCTCCTGAATGTCCTTGAAGACGACGAACTTCTGGGTAATAAACTGGTGGGTATCCGACATGTCGTTGAGAGCGCCCTCGGCGATTTCTCCACGGGAAAGTTGCTCCAGGCGGACCGTCTCCTCGCGAGTCAGCTGCTCCAAGCCCTTTTCGCGGGCATGCATGTTGAAGACCAACATCTGGATCTGTGTACTGAGGTCACGAAGTTGTGTGCGGAGGATCTTGGACTCGGCCTGAGCGTTGGCCAAGGCACTCTCAGCCTTTCGCGCGCTCTTCTTTGCTGCGTCGCGCTCTTCGAAGCTTGACTGAGATAGTTCGGACATCCTAGTAATTTCGGACCTCAGGGTATCGGCCTCATTCTGGAGCTCCTCGATCTCGGGTGTCTTGGCTTCCAACAGAGCAATCATATTGTCGAGCTCCTCGGCGAGTTGTTGATTACGGCGCTTCTCTCCGGCCATCTGCCCCTTGACCTTGTACAATTCGTCGATAGCCTGTGTTGCGGTGATGGCGGACTTGTTTCGCGCAGAAGCAGGAGTAGCAAAAGGCGAGGCAGGCCTTCCGAGAAGGGATCCATTCATACGGGGTGTCTGAGGTGCAGATCCCGGTGGGGGTCCTTGTTCAACGCGGGCGTGAAGCTCGTCGACCTCGCCCTCAAGCTGAGTCACCCGTTCCTCCAGGGCACGGCAAGTCTCCCTCTCGCGTTCGAGCTCGTGCTGTATGCGACGGACTTCGTTTGCATGCTTCTCCTTCAAGGCTTCCTTCTCGCCCTCCAGGGTCTGCACACGGGCCTTGTGACTGTCGGCAAGTTGGTTGGTCATATCAACGACGCGCTGCTTGCTCTCGATCTCGTGCTTGTAGCTCTCCTCGCTGCGGGCGAATGCTTCCTGTTGTTGCTGGACCTTGGTGAGGGCCTCTTCCGCCTTGGCTTGAGCTGCGTCGAGGCGATCTCGAAGCTGTTGTTCACCTCGCTTCAGGGATTCGATACTAGATTTCGCGTCTTCGTTTTGTCGTTGTAATTCGGCGATCCGAGCGCCCTTCTCGCGGCGGTACTTGAGAGCTTCTTCGCTCTTGGTCTTGAGCTCGGTCTCGAACCATTCGCCATTGCGTCGAGCAAGATCGAGTTGTTGTTGTAGTGACTCCTCTCGGTACTTTGCGCTACTCACAGCGGCCTGAGCAGCCTGAACCGACTGCTGCAGAGCCGTGATCTCCTTTTGGAGCTGGACGTTCTTCTGGTGCTGCTTCGCCAACTCTTCAGACAGCTCTGAATCGCGGGCGTTTCGAGACTCAAGCAAAGCCATATTCGCGCGATTGGAAGATTGTAGGGACTCGACGCGGTCGCGGAGAGTAGTGATCTCGGAGTCGTGATCGGATCCGCGGGACTTGAGCGACTGGAGCTCGTTCTCGACCGTTTGTCGCTTCGTTTCTGTCATGGTCAAGTCAGTCAGCCAGAAATTGATACCCCAATCGAACAATCTCGTCATTGTACAAACCTTCTTCTTTGAGCTTCTGGCGAATCTCCTCGACATCCTTCAGGGCCTTGTCGGCTGTCGCCTTGAATGTCTGGCATCTCGATTCGGCGCTGTGGTGTGCGCTTTCGAGCTCGATGTCGACCTGAAGCTTCTGAGCATATAACTCATCGTACTCGCGTGCCTTCGCAATGACGGCTTCGAGGAGGCTCGCGACGAGCTCGGGGGTCGGGTCGGTTGTGGCTGTCGAGACCGTCGACTCGGACAGCCCTAGATGGCCGGCCACATAGCCTACATCCACCACCGCTGCCATATTGTTGTAAGCTCAGGGTCTAGTCATGGACATCGAAAGAGGATTGCGAGGTCGTTTGTGGTCGGAATGTAGGTAGGTTTGTTTGGCGATGGGCTCGCTGCGTCGCGCGTCAAACACCCCACCGGTCGGGAAGGCTGAGGTAGGTGTTGCCGTGATGGAAACAGAAGCAGGGAGGATAGCCCCACGGAAGAAGATGAGAAGTCTCTCGAGAGCCGCCAATTTTGGTAGAGGCGGTCAAGAGTTGATTCCAAGCAACAAGGAATTGGGTGGGATTTGGCGGCTAATTGGCAGATCGCAAGATTTTGGGAAGAGCGCGACCAGGCGAATGTTTTCTGGCCAACGCACAGTGCAGGTACAAGGCTGGGGGGAGCTGCCTGCAACCACGGGCGACAAAGGTACTCGTTAGGCCAATCAGAGGGCCTTGTAGAAGGAAGCTGTATCGACACCCGAGGATCATCCGGCTGAGTCATCAACAGCTCCGCTCAATCCTGGTGAGGCCCTCTCTCGGTGAGTTGATGAAGTCAAAGCTTCCTGACCGAGAACGCCGATCTTCACCTCTGTCTTTGCTCGGTAAGACTTCACCGAAACCCCAAGTCATCGAAGGGTGAGCTCCAGACTAACCAGATGCATCCCCAACTTTGACCCTCAAACAGGCTCCAATATTGTCCTCTATCTTATGGCTCTTCTTGATTCTTAGCTTTTTCCCTCCCTCGACACTCTTTTTCCTTCAAATGCGCATGTAGCTAGTTTCTCGCACCGATGCTTAAACTCTAGTCCCCTTGGTATGTAAAAATGGGTATATCTCTTCTTACGTCGTTAAACTAAGCTAAAGATTCAACAAGCATAAGTATCTTCCTGTCGTCTTCATTAGGCCTCAACTCCCTTCCCAGTAATCCACCACCAGCCCAGCCGTTATCGGTGCCATCATTGTTGTCGCTGCTGGCCCCCATCCATCTCAGAGTAACCTGATGTTGGGCCTGCATGCCATCCCATCCCTTGAAGCTCCGCCCTGTCTCGTCCCTGCCCTTGATATACCGCCGATGGCCCACTCGGACTCTGATGAATCGGTTGCCCATGAGCCTCCGCTAAGGTATTCTGCACATGTGGCTGGTTGTAGCTGTTCTGAAGCTCGGGTGGGAGAGGCAGGCTCTGGCCATATGGTCGCTGTTGCGGATATGCCGGTTGGCCATGCTGTCCCTGGAGCTCCGAAGGCAGATATTGTCCGGCAGGCTGCAGCTGGCCGTTGGTGTTGGCTGGCATCTCGGACGGCAATCTCGTCTGGCCGTGGAGTTCCACGCCGGGGGGGGATTGGGCCCATACACCACTAGCATTTGACGCGGGCGATATGGTGTCCGGATGTGGAGAACCAGTCGTGTAAGAGACACTCATCTGAGGGCTTTTGGGTGGCAGCTCGGACAGCATCGTGCCGCCTAGTTCAGGTTTGCCCGCCATTTCAGGAGGGCCGGCGGCACCTGGAAGCGGGAACCCAGCCTCGTTCTTCTTCCGACGGCGGTAGATGATGAACGCGATGAGAGCGGCAATCGACAAGGCACCAACGACAGCAATAACACCTCCGATGATGGCTGCAAGGCTTGGAATGCTGGACTTCGATTTGCCATTGGTATTCGTACCGTCGCCAGAAGTACCCGAAGAGCCAGTAGCAGTAGCAGTAGCTTCGGCGCCCGAAGTCCCTGACCCCGTGCCGGCCTGTGCTGTTGGATAAGTCTGAGCAACTATCGCTTGGTTAGTCAAAGCCGATGCGATCATGGCGCATGATCTACTCACTTGATTCAGCGACAGTGGCCACCACCTCGTTTCTAGCTGCCTTGCAATAGTAATCCAACACGGCAACCGCAGAAGATACAACATCCGTAGCCGTAGATGAGCAATACCACTTGATATCCGATGTCACCGTGCTCATGACGATGTTAGTCACTCCATCTTTCAAGCACATACAAGATGCCAAGGCCTGAGGCCCCGTCGGGCACTGGTATCTCGTAAGCGAGTAGATAGCATCCGAAAACCCTGACTGTGCGCATGCGGCCAGCGAGCTGTATTGTGAGAGCGCCGTCATGTAGTAGGTCATATCTCCTGGAGGCGGCGAAGGCTGCGGGAACGATGTAGTGCCCTTATTCATGGCACAGTACGCATCGTAGAAAGCGAGACCCGAAGTCACGTCGGCGGCGTTGGAGCATGAGTACCGTACAAGCGATGCGATGGACCGGCTGACTCGTGCTGAGTTGTCGTTCTTCGAGCAGATGCAGGGCGCCATCAGACTTGCGGCTTCAGGGCAATACGTTGACATTGAGCTGATGGCGTACGACACGCCAGACTGGGCACACGGGGCCATGTTGGCGAACTCGGCGATATCGGTGGCATACTTGGTAACGATGTTGGTCGTAGGCGTCGGAAAGTTGACTGTCGTATCGGGGTTACAGTACTGGCTGATGACTGCCGCGGCGCTGGTCTGGTCATCGGATGCGGTTGAGCCACAGCTGTAGCTGATTGACCTGGCGATGGATGTTGAGATGGCGGCGAGGTTGTTGTTCTTCGTGCATATGCATGACTGCAAATCTGTCGGTGCTTCACCGCACGCCGAGTAGGTCTGGGAGAAGATATTGTACGACACGGCAGTCTGAACACACGGCGCCTGATATGGGTCAGTATCGTTTAATCACCATTCCGGCAAAGGTTTTGGACATACCAACAAGGTGTAAATGGAAAGATCAGTGACATAAACGATACTTGCGGCTCTCCCAAGGCCGATGAGGAAGAGAGACAGCCATAGCTGGGCTGATATCCGCGACATCTCTCCCAGGCAAACCACAACAGCAATCAAAGGATATCAAGGAACGGAACGTCGACAACGGTCAACAGAGTCAGAAAAGACAGGAGGAGCCTTTCACGAAGCATGATGTGAAGAGGACGAGGGGGCCAAATGGCAATGTCTCTGCCTAGAGTGACTGGCTAGGCATGGGAAGCTAAGCGCGGGGGAGAGACAGTTTCTAACTCGCTGCAAGGGGTAATGAAGTCCACCGTTGAGCCCGTGTACCCGTGAAAAGCGTGAAAGCTTACCCAGTTTCTCTACTTCGGCTTAGGCTGACTTGGTGTTTTGATGGTCAATCATCACCACGACGGTCACTAACCCCTGTCACTATGGCGCTAAAGTTGCACCACCCCCTTGACAGCTGAAGGGCTGAGCCAGGGATAGCTTCAACGTGATCGCCTCTGCGGTTCCGCAGTGGAGATTTCATGTTCCGCGTCGTTTGTCCGGAAAAACACGAAAAAGCCGACTCATCGCGGAGTCTGGCGGAGTCTTCGCTACCCTGGAGATATCAAGCCTCATCATTTTCTGTGACAATGCCCAAGTTGAACAGCATGAACAGGTGAAGAGCTTTCGCACGTTTCAACGAGCCTCTTATCATCCTACCCTCGCGGAAATAGGAGCAACGTTGGAGGTGTCCACAAGACAGCTTAGCTGCAGCCGCGATGGCGTTGTTTAATCAAACACTGGTTCAGCCTAGGCCAAGCAAGCTAGGCAAGCCAAGTTGATGATTTGGTAGTGTACAGCCATGGACCTCGCACTCGCAGCAAGTCACAACTCATTTGCCTCGCTGGCGGGGAAAACGTCGCTTCGGAAAGTCGAAAAGTGATCCAAAAAAGAAGACAACACTGGTTGCTCGATCTGTCGGTACTTTCCAGACCCATCGTGATGGCGTCAGGATGGTAATATGATGATAACCTACGTGCCTTCGACCTTTGCTGGCGGCAGAAATGACTCAGGAGCCGGCAGACGCCACAATCCAGGGGCGACAGAAACCGGTAGACGCGATTGGCGTGCCCAGATGAGACATTCCGTTCAGAGCTAGTCTTGAATATTGTGGCAGGCCAACATAATTTGTTGGCGTGAAGTTGAAAGAAGCACAGCAGTCTTGATTGACTATGTATCGTGGGTGTCTGGGTTCATAATTAGGTGCTGACTGAGAGGAGGGTCCATCAAAGATAGAGCACAGGCACCAGGGCAAGAGTAGGACAATTTCAGCTTACATAAGGCAAGTCAATAGGTAACTGACGGCAACCGGGTCATCACCCGGCCGAGCTCGGCGCGGTTTGTCAGTGGCATAACCAAAATGTCGCTAATAATCACCGTATTCAGAATAGAACTTGAGGATCAACGGAGTCAGTGGTGCAGAACTGCAACCAAATGGATCAACCTTACACAGACTATCCAGGTTCCTGAGTGCAAGAGTCTCTCATTCTCACCATGATGGTATCATTCTGGGTATCCTCCTCCACCTACATTACTTCCCGAGCCATGATCTGTACAAACGGTACTCATCCATGGCATCGAGCCATGTCAACTGACTTCTGCCACCTTGTTCCGGAACGAGAGGTCCCTATTGAACATTGAGAGGCCCGGCCAAACACTCTCAGGATGGCAGAGCCTCCCCTTGCGGCTCGCCACTCAACTCAGCACCCGGCCGCCCGCGCCACCACCGTACATGTAGCCAGGCGCGAGACCCTCACCGAACTTTGTTAGAGTCTGGTTCACCTTGAGGGACAGCCGCCTCGAAATGCTGCTCCGCTTTTTCACTTGCCTTTCCATGCTGTCTCTCGCCTCCAGTACCTCAACGTCGTCATTCTCTCGCATGGTGCTTATGTCCACATCGCAGTTCTCGTCCTCATCGGTTTGGCTTTGCTCTTCGTCAGATTTGTAGTCGGGCATCGCACGGCTTCCGCATGTTGTGCACATAATCTGATTGGGTCGAAGGGTCGGCATTTCGCTCTTTCGCCTTGTACGATCTGCGGTGGGCGGAACCGAGTGGTTCAAGGACGGCGTTGGTTCAGTGAAGACATCGCCCTCTGTAGCCCGCCTCCTCATCGATCTTGCTCTGCGTTCGGCCACCTCTTTCTCGACGGACCACTTGATGACAGAAGGTCTTGGTGCCTCCTCCTTCTCGGCCACTGCAGCCAGGCTCGTGTTGGCGAACTGTGTGGTC